CTGCCACTGTATATCCCCGATCTAATACCGGCAAGACCGTGAGCTCGTAGCTAAACGGTTAGGACGTTCGCCCTGACCAGAGAGATCGTGAGTTCAAAACTCGAGTGTGGCAGCTATTTTAGAGGCAACGCTGGAGTTGGGTATCACTAGCCGATGACGGAAAATGAGCCAGAAAAGGCCTACCTACTGCCCCATGTTTTTGCTGGTAATGCCCTTCTACCTATATCCTAGCCGCCTCGCGGTGGAGGCTCGATTGAGAGCTCTAATGGCAACATGGATGGACGAATGTGTCCTCTAACAGATCGGTGTACGCATATCTGCCATTTAAAATGGTATATTAACGTGCGGCTGCTTAAAAGACCAGAGTACTAACGGATCCATCTCGAGCGTCATGCTAGCGCACCGAGTGGAATTCAAAGAAGTAAATCAGTCCGTGTACATCGTACTGTGTACATGTGTACATGGTACTGTCTGTGTACATCAGTCTGTGTACATGGTACTGTCAAACTTACTTGCAGACCACGATCGGTCTTGTCCCTGGAGGACTCTGTGCCTTTAAGGCATCCCGTTGAGGTTAGTTAGCATTATATTCAATCCCTTTCATGAGGAGCTCAGCAACTTTTCGCAGAAATGGACGAACCACGTTCGAGGGAGTAGTTCTACCGCAGCCAATGGCGAGACGCTGTCTCAATGTCAGATGGAAATTCACCAATCGGTTAGGGGATTCAGTTATCCCGTGGTGCCTTGAGCCTTACTTTTTGACCCCGTCAGTACAAGCATAGTGGCTAGTGATACAGGCATAATAACATTAAAACTACTATGCAAGCACGTACCTGCGAAGATTTCCATACGAATAGACAACGCAAAACCTTTGTTCGACGTCTGGTAACCAAACTGCTTATCACGATGTCTGGAGGGCTGTGCCGCCTACCTCACCTGGCATCGATTTGTAGCCGGCGCCCAGTATTGCTGTGTCCGGCTTCCTTGTTCAAGGCCAACTGCCACAAGGTCACCCACTATCTCAGCCCGCGTTTTCGGACACTTGACCGACTGCCACTCGGACACACACACGTGCGTCCAGATAGTCCCTGCCGTCCAAGCGCCACTTGAATACGCCCCTTCCCCCATACTTTTCCGACACAGCCTTCGCCACCAGGCAAAACAGCCCTCGGGTAATGTCACACGCAGCAATTGGAGAACACTTGAAACTGCTGCGTAGTCCTACTTAAGCAACTGCCACCACTCTCTCTCAGGCCCGACTAGACGCAGCCAACACTAGCCCTGGCTTCGCCAGTGGCCACTGCCATCTGAGAGAGCAACTGGGAGTTCTGTACACAATAAATCCCTCTCACAGGTGCTTTCAGTCTTTTACCACCAACCCGGGATTTGGCCTGATGATTGTAGAGCTCAGAGTTCACCCATTACGTAGACGCCATAGACTTCCTATCCTCCGCCTTCCTTTCCGGCGCAGTAACATGGGTTCTGTAGACATACGGCAGGACTGAGGTGGTCCCTTCTTGCTCCTTCCTAAGACTCGCAGCTCGGTGGTATTATTTGTCAAGTCAACAAGTCTACCGATCGAAGTGAAAATAGGAGTTCCAGATAGTAGTTGAGAAGACGAAGGTGAGGTGTCTGGTACAAGAACTTTATTCATCTGACGTGTCGGGTTCCCGCTCGCCGAGGACAGCAGCACATACTGGTAGTGCATACGCAGGAAATTAAGATATTCATAGGCGGGAGTTGCTATGCTACCACACATCATTGATAATAGGACGAGAGGCGGGGGGGGGTTGGTATCTGCTACTTTTCATAAGTATGTGGTAGCGTGGGGATTTCATCCTATGAATACCTGCGTATGCATTAATAGTATCTGATGTTGTCCTTGAATATGGACTCGAGCATGAATTCGAAACGTCAAGAGAATAAAACTCTTGTTTTAGCGATTTAAATTTCTCCTCCTATGCCTTCTTTTTTCTTCTTCTTCTTCATCTTCTTCTTCTTCCTCTCAGGTCTACTTACCTAGGCCACAAGATATTTATGTAGCTCTCTGGACTGACATAATGACCTTCAGACAATGATAAATAAAGTGTCTGTAACAATAAAAAGCACGTCGGATGCTTATGTGAAGGAGTGAGCATTAACGAGCGGAATTTAAATGAATGCGACAGTGGGCGAAGCGAAGCTTTACATTGGACATAGAAACTTACTCAACGTAGGGCGGGTCAAGGTAGAATGAACGTAAGTCTCTTCTGAAAATATGGGAATGATTATTTTGAAAAATATTATTGTTATATTTGGTGAAATAATCCGGAGTTCCACTTGAGTACGAATAAAGATGATAAAAGTGGGAAAGAGAAGGCTTTATCAAGTCAAGATGAATCATAAGAAGGATAATTGTTTCTGTCATAATGTGCGAAATTCCTCCATCCGTTAAATACGGCTTTTGGTGGGCTTTAAATCCGACAGTGAACTAGAAGCGGAATCGCTTAACCGTTTCCTGATGATGGTGTCACCAACAGGATATGCGTAACTACTGCCCATTTGAAAATTAAACGAATAGCATGACAGTCCAAATGCAAAGAAGTTTCACTCAACTTCTGCAAGATCTGAAACTTCATGCTTGTGTCACCACGGCATCACCGACCTAAGAGACGCTCATTTTTCGAGTGAAGTAGTTCTCGCCACTGTTCGAGTGTATTCTGTACACCACGAAGGAGTAAAATGTCATCCTACTGATGCAAGAGTAGGTTAGTGCACTTGGCTTCTCATCAGTACTCATTTCTCAGTTATACTTTAGGAAGTTAAACCAGATGAGGCCAGCCGGTGCAGTGTTCATTTAATGGCGAAACCGTACGTGGGTCGTCTGATTCAGTCAGTGGAAATTAACCAGCTGGGTTGTGGCACGCGTAGGCACGAAGTAAGTGTGTGATATCTCAGGCAATTGTAAACTGGTATTCTAAAATTATTTTTCGATTCGGAAAGCTTACAGGAGAAGAGCTGCGAGCTTAAGTATCCCCAGAGACTTCAGTCATGACAGAGTGCTCGTTTTGGAACGAGCTTCGATCCGACAGAAACTACACTGTAAATAAGGGTCACTTAATTGGTAATGAGGTCCCCTATTGATTTACGACACAATTATAAATTATAAATTACAATTATAAATGCAATACCGACAAAGGCAGGGGGGAATGGGATGACTATTTTCGGCTTAATAGCCGTTGTCAGCCAGTCATACCCAATCTCTAGGGCTGGTGGCCCCCAAGACTCGAACCCGCGACCTTGCTTGCTAGAAGTCCAAAACCCAAACCACTGCGCTACGGGTTCGTTGCCTTGCCGGTTTAGATTATGAATATGCACGATGGCAGATAAATGCTCACCGATCGCTTGAGGAACTTACTCGTCCTGCTGTGCCTTCGGGAAAATATTACAGGTACAACCCTTGCGGTTGGGTAACACTGACTGATGACGGCTAATAAGCCAGAAGTGGTCCTTTTAGTCTCCCTGGTATTTATCACTATTGTATTTTTTGCCTATACTATGCTAGCCGTTGAGCGGCTGCCGATTAGCTTGAGAGCGAGCGCCAAAACACAACGGAACGTGTGAGTTCCATACCGACTGGTGAGCGCACTTCTACCATTGTTAAATATAGTGTGCATAAAATATGGATAATTTGCTATCAAATGAGTACAAGGAAGAATAGGTTTGTGCATGCTTTATATTAAATGAATTTTCATGTAAAAGGGCATGGAAATCAATTGGTAAAGTGCAGATTACTTTAGTTGCCCGTTCTCGGGTGTGGTTTTTGCAAGCGAAAAGAAGTAAGCTTGTTCAAAAGCCGACATTGTGACGTGACTAAAATATCTGGGGGAATATACATTACACTAATGAATACTACAGCTTTATTTGATAAGTATTTTTGAATCCAGAACATATTCCAGTATTTCGGTCAGTATTTCATGAGACTCACAAATGCCGTACGTTTACGCGTGCCACATCACGGCTTGTCACTTTTCACTGGCTGACTCAGGCGTCCTACGCACGGTTTTCTCATGTTATGAAGACCACCCTGACTACATTTATCTATTTTACAAAAAAGGGACGTTTGAAGAATGTGCATTTTCATTCCCAGTGGAGTTTGTTGCACAAAACACCTACCGAAGAGGCGAACTTAATTGATATGCCTGAGCACTTAGAGTTGTCACTTTAAAATCTATAAAATTTGGCCAAATACGTATTCGTAGTTTGCAGATGTCACTACTGACTGGAAAACAGACTTACAATCTACGGCGTCCTCGGCCTTTTGCCAAATCTCTCAGTGCCAACGGACGAGGTGACCTGCCCTGGCGGAAAGACCGCAGTTCAGGCAAAGTTGGAACGTCTCTGTTAAACAAAAAGAAGTTTTATTATTTCACATTCCTGCACGACATTGTAAATAAATAAGCAATGAAAGGATAACTTCGACATTTTACGACGATGGAAAACTTTTCAGTAAAAGTAAGAACGAGTTTACACGTCCACGCAAGGAAGTTTTAAAAAGTGACAAAAACGGACTACTTGATAAATTAAGTAGGCGTAATAACTAAGTTAACGTTGGACATACACTTTTTCAATCTCCAATTCCAAGGGGCGATCACAGGATATGCAGTGGAAGTGGGTCACTATCTGTCTGCGAATACCGGCCGCTCCGTCACCATGCGCGTGACCCAGGTGCTGGCAACAGTCATCCACCTGCGGTTTCTTGGAGACGCGCTTTGTCCGTGTTGGCAGGCTAGCCAGCTTCTTCTCCAGCCATTTGCGTAATTCCTCCAGTTCATCTTTCTCGGCTTTGGATAAAATATTCCCACTCAGGCCATCGATCATGCCTCTTAGCTCGTTTTCCTTTAAAGAGAAAAACAAGATTTTAACTAACAATGGTTTATGGCTTGTATGCATTTTGTTTGAGGTCAGTATGATTCTCGTAGCTCCTACTGACTGCATGCTCTGGGCACCGTTTCAGCTTTTGTCAACACAGAAGTAAAAAAACATTCCCGTTCACTAGTGGGATAAAAGCGTAGCCAATTCTTTACTTCTGTTGGTGATAGCAACCGAAGTACAGCCAGCGGGCATCCTCGTGATGGATGCCTGCAGACCGGCTAATCCTACAGTCCGACTGATTCACTTGAATACCCTCAACACAAGCAGCCATCCACGTCTCACTATGTTCTACATTCTATTGCTGTTTGTTTACGCCTTTTCTTGCCATCTGGCCCTCATTGACGCGACGGTTTGACTATCGCCAAAGATGATGTCCACTGTGGACAACATAGTGACTTGCAGGTAAATTAGTTTGCAATGAAGTAGACTTGCGTTTCATCTACCGCACTCTATCCTCTCTCTCCCTCATATTCTTGCCTCTGATGCCAAGACAATGCCAATATGCTTGAAGGGTGGTGCGGGCGCAGTGGCTAACAAAACCAAATAACCTATGTTCGCGTGCCAGGCACGAGCTGGTATTCCGTAAAGTTGGCCCGGGTCTTGCATGCACGATAGTTAGTGGCGGACAGCCAAAATAGCTGCCCCCATTGCTCATTCAATCCTCATTGCCTCAAAGTCACCCACCTTCGCAGGCAGGTGATTGCGAAGGCCCTTGACCAATTTCCCGCACGTACACAGCCGCGTCCAAAACAGTCCAAGGGCCACTTGAACACGCTGCTCCCTCAACCGACGCAGCATGGGACGCAGCACGCCCCCACGTCTAAGACGACACACCAATTGCAGACTATTTGAACTTGCTTCAAAACTATGTAAAAGAAACTTTCATTGCTCCTATACATACGCTCGAGCATGAATGGTCGCAGCTAACACATACTCTGGCTTCGCTAGTGGCTACTGTTGCCTGAAGCAGTAATACAGGGTTCTGCGAACAATAAATCCACTTCCCGCATTTTTGCTTTAATGTTTTTTTCCCAAATCTCACTGTCCACAATGCTTCACTTACTCACGTTACTAATTAGGCTAATTAGCCCAATTTACTAATTGACCTTCCTGACCTGTTTCTATGACCTCTTCTGTATTAATTCAGTTTCTGTATTCTGCCATTCGTTACTCACTTTATGCAACGAGAGGACGCAACTGATGAACACTCGCGAAATTTATGGTTCCATTAAATTCTGCTGTATACGCAATCTTCCAATTTGCGTCTGGGAAAAGATGCTTCATATAAACCTGTCATACGGCATAGCGCCGACCAAAGAAGGCTTCCCCAAATCAAGGCAGGCGAGACAAAGTCGATGGGACAACTTCTTTGCTATAAGCAGAAGGAATTGCAAAAGCTGAATCGGGAGCCAGTTGCTTGCTGCGTCCGTTCACCAGGCCTCAGTGCTGGAGTGTGTCTCTGCCAGTGCTGACAACAAATCCGGCGCATATCAGTAATCAGCGGTACGCAAAATCGATTAACTGATTGAGTGACTTGACTGCCAATTCACGCTTCGTAGATCAGTCATCACAAGTGGCGAGGCAAGTCCAGTGTGGACCAGTAATCGACGACGCGCCAAAAATCGATTCACTGGCCACGTTGATAGAGCGGGCAGATGAGTGATCATGGCAGCGCTGGCAGGGTAGGCTCCTACAAATCCACTGGTGTATTTTGTATTTTATCTACAAACTGCGATTTGATCGGATGATAGTAGTGCTCCGAGTGCAGCGACTGCTTGGACGCTACAAGTTCCACGAAGGCCAGGTTAACGAGGCCGTCACAGCCTACCGTCTCTTAGTGCCTTTCAGTAGACGCAAGCGGGCCAACTTTCTTGTAGTGAGGCATGTGCTTATGTGCTATGGCGATGGATCGCGTCCTGTCGACCTCGTCCTCTCTTTCTCTCATCCATACACTACTCGACTGCACGTGACTCTGATCATCATCTAGTTCGGGGATTAGGTGGAGGGGTTGACTCAGCAGTAAGACCTGTGTCTAGACGTGCCGCAACACCCAACCTCTCTTGCTTAACACTAGTTATGCTCCCGCGGGCCCCTTGAGAGGACCGCGCGCCAGACTTACTGGACTGACGCGGAGGGAGGAGAGTATAGCACAGTAGGCGTTATCGGGGATGCGCTCCCATCACAAATGCTGGAAATTGGGGCGAGGCGCATAGTGGCAGTGGTAGATGAAGACTCATGCCGCACCAGCCACCTGTGTCCGATTCCGCCTCCGGTCTTCTTGGCTCTGTGTTAGCACTGGGCACAGGAGGGTTAGGAAAGAGAGAGTGCTACAGATGCAGCGCAAGTCCCCTTCTCTGTCGAGTATACGGTTGATCTCGTCAGATGCGACAAAGGAAATCTTATGGTATTCTGCAACGCGCACTGCGAGCCAGTCTGGTCCGTGTACTGGTTTAGTTCATTTGCAGCGCAGCACCTTGTGAGAGCCATTGCACAATGCTAGACACTATCGTTATAACAGTCAGAAATTGGAAGTGATTCTAATTCCTCGTGAACTCCTTCACATAAAGTAAGAAATAAGTGGTTACTGAGCCCAATCTGAGGCAGAATAGATTTGCAGCACAGCTTCAACCAAGGAAACGAGCTTCAGCATAAAAATTCTGAAAACATATATATATATACTAGAGGTGTGTTCACAATAATTGACTGGTTTCAAGATCTGAAGCAATTCATTACCACAGCCAGAAGTTTCTCTAGGAGGCCTTCGACAATGCGTCGGAGTCCATCGGTAGTCTGATCAAAAAGGGCTCGATCCAGCTTCGAATCCAGATCGCTTTTATCTAGTTTCTGTGCAAAAAAGAGAGTGTAAGAGAGAATAATTCCTGTCAATCATAATGGGTGTTTGTGGTAACACAACAGACGCCTAAAAAAAGTAATAAAAGCAAAGATGCTTACTTTTACAAAATAAGTAGATAGTTATACAAAAGAAATAAGGCAGTGGTGTCACCTATAAGCTGTTGTTACTGGTTTTTTAATGCAAGGTAAAGTGCAAAAGTTTCCCCAGAAACAATATTTATGCGAATTACCAATAGAGAAATAAAGCTTTCCTGGTTGCTGACAGTGAGAGCATCTGTCGCAGATGATCAGATAACCTGTATTACTTCTCGTCCTTTTGTTTGATTAAACAAAGACGATAGAAGGCAGGAGCTAGTTGTATCCAAGATTAATATGGTCATACTTAATTAACTGGTTATAGGCCGGCTTGTTATGAGAGCAAAAAGAAAACAGGAGAGTAGACCCTTCCAGGCATTCGGGCCCTTCATGTAAATCGAAGGGCAGCAGATAGAAAAGTTTGAAGGAGAAGTACGAACGGCCTGTCCTGGTGAACTCAACCAAAGGTAGTTACACAGAAGGTGAGAAGTTAACAGCCTGCTGATGGCTAATTCTCAGAGTGCAAACGTCCTACCTGAAAAAAACCGGTCAGTTGATTTGCCAAGCACTCGGGCAGAAGGCCACAAATTTGACTTCACGGGTACGTTCATAATGGCGCAAGCCAGTAATAAGACGGTGCGGAAAGTACTGGAGGCCTGGGTATCTACCTTCAGTTACATCAACATACATGTTGACAGCCTCCCCTGCTATCACGCCCTTCGTTCGATCCCAGCCATGAACGCACGCCATAAGACGACGTGGGCTTCAAGTAAACCATACTCCGAATGCAATCCTCACTTTCTCGTAGCTCAACTACAAAAGTACGTAACTTTTTTCTGCACACACATTGTCTCTGAAGAGGGCTTCCGATACGAAGCCGAAAACTCAGACAGATGTGAATGTTGTCCCAGTGATAGCGCCCTAATCCTCTTTTCAACTTGCGATGTATTTTATGAAGTATCATAACCGGACTTGGTCTGTTCCGGCTGCAAGACGCAGTTAACAGGAATGACGCTTTAAAAGGCTGAACTTGAGCTGGCCGCATAAGCCAGCAAAGTGAAACTTGGAGTTTAGGTCAGAAAGGGGGAATCAAACAACTTATTATCTGTACATTGTAAGGCAGAAAAAACCATAATCTACTGGCCATTCCTTTATGCATTGCGCCCTCAGGGCTATCGACAGCAAGCAAGAACTAGGCAATTTCGATCCCGGTTGCATGGGAATGATCCTCCCCCTAAATGAATTGGACTGGTTTCATCGCGAAAAAAGGAGTTCGAGGTTGCTGTAGCGACCTAAAAAGGAAATCCTATAGGTCATATCTACGAAGTCCACTACCGCAGTTCAACCGGAGCCAGAGAAGTAACTAGGTCGGCCACATTTAATTCAGTGGTTACGATCATCGCGCGTACCGGGACATCATATGAGGATAGGGCTGTGACCCGATTTCAGTGTATTAACCACAGGCATGAGTACTGACTGCGCAAATGCCTGCAGAGGCCCAGGCTTTAGCATCGTCAAAATAAACATTTGTAGCATCCCATGATGCTGATTGCGTCGTAATTCTAAAAAGCAAAAAGTTGAATTCGCAGGCTTTGCGGTGTGGTTTCTGTAGGCGCGTCGCAAGTATCAATACAGTTTTCTTCCCTCAAATGTTCCCCTTTCAAGGGGATACGGCAAGGGAACTACTAAGCAGACGCCTCAACCAAACTGTATCACGAACCTTTTCAGCAGTGAAAGTTCGGGTGTTATTCTCAACCAAAGCGGTCCTGCACGGCGAAGGTAAGGATAGGCTGCCAGCTCAGACCACTTCTATGTGCATCTTCTCAGTTACTTGCTCCTGTGGAGCAAGTTATATCGGTCGCACGAGTCAAGGCTGATCCAAAAGTATACGGGAGCGTCTTCCGGCACGGCTGAGCAAAGGTAAAGCCAGAAGCATCAACAGCGCCACAATTGCCCACATGTTCTATTGGTTGCCATAGTCTGGTCCCTTGTTGACTTCCACGAGTGTGATAGCACAGCGCAGGCGCAGAAACCAGAATTTGAAAGCGACCTCGTTCCGGTGCGCCGTACAGCAAGACCCCCTGGCCATGCGTTTACGTGTATCGTCAGCCGCACTCTCAAGTGCCCATATGTTGGCTAATCACGGTAAAAGGCTCACTGACTGAGCTCATATGTACTGAGCGACCTTTACACATCTCTGACATACAACAGTCACGCAGTCCGGCCCGCATGTTCCGATTCAATAAAGGCGGTTTTGGAAGAAGAAGATTCGATCACTGGAACAAGATTTTTATATCCCTGACGGTTGGGATCCCGTCGCATAATGAGAGCGAATAGTTACCCGT